GAACCGTCAACAGAAACCACTGACTGCCTTGCTGCTGCATTCACATCTCTTCATGTAGTAAGCAATTTTCACTGAAAGTCAGGATATTCCTTGTTCCTTGGGTAAATTTATTGTCAGTTATTGTCTTCAGTTTAGTATGAAAATTACACAAGGCAACGTGTAAAGTTTATCCCATTCGCAAAACCAATAAAACATTAGAATTTGGCATTTTTGCTTTAAATTTTAAATATAGTGTTTTTGTTTTAAATGCCAAATGGTTTGCAGACCTCAGTTGATGCAACTTAACTGGGCACTAGACTGAACACTGCCCATTCCCAGTTTCATGGACAAGAGCAATGAAGATGCTAAGTGGCAATGACAAGTTGAAGCTTCACACTAAGGACTGATTTTTTTGTAACGGAGTACGAAGCAGATTCGTATTAGTTATTAATCTGAAGGACGTGTAGGTAATCTCATCACATTTAACTACTGTGGCTGCAGTCACCTGTATCTCTGTTTCCAAACTTACAAAAGAGGATATAAAAGTAGCTTCTTTGTTTACTTCTGTTAGTTCACTTCAGTTCATTCTTCAAAGTGCATAAGACTATCACTGTGTGTCATTAAAAAAAAAAAAAAAGTAAAATAAAACAGAACTATGTTGCAGCAAATCATGTTTTTATAAAATACTGTAATATTTTCTTTCAAACTAGGTACAAGCCAAAAATAGAAACTTTATGTTTTGGCATTTTAAAATATTTGAAAAGCATCCGAAATTGCCATTTATTAGATTATGAAACAATGAAGTTTTTAATTTTATTCAATCTCACTCTAAGAAACTATTTCTGGCCAGCTCCTTAGGTAAAAAGAAAATAGAAAGCACGAATGACAGTAATGATTGTCTCCCATAATCAGAAATTATCAGGGTGCTCTCCGATTTCTTTAGTGTGGTTTAATTGCTTTAATATCTCTGTCATTAATCTTTCTCATTCACTTAGTACATCATAGTAGAATATTTGATAAAAAATCTTTTTGTCTTAATAAGTAGCTATTTTAAAATAGTTTTCAGCTTTTGTTTTGGACTTTTGAGACTCAGGAACATACTCTGTTTTTCTTGGACAGAGTTTGTCTAGATTCAGCACTTAGAGTAATGAAAATCTTAAAATATGGCTGGCATTACAAAACTGGCAAAAGCTAGAGGGACCAGAACACATAAGGTCTTTTTGTCAGAGGTGTTGAGCACTCGGAACTCCTTTTCAGTCTTGTTAGAACCTATTTCAAAATCAAATCTTTGGTTTTCAAAGATGGTACATAAAATCGTCTTCTAAAATTTTCATGTAAAGTCAAAAAATGGACTGTGTCATGCAAGGAGTAGATAATCTTCTGTAAAACAGTTACATATTTATGCATGTCTATTCTTTTTCTTTCGTTTCTGGTGATAACCCCTGAAGTCATTAAAGGAGGCTGATGCAGTTGTTAATGGCAATGCACACTTGAGCAATCTTGTAAAAGATAGTATAGATAAGAGAGGTCAGCACAGATTAGTGGAAAGGCCAGATTTTAAGTGCTTCATTCAACTTCCTTTTATGCTAGTTGTCACCATTAAAATTTTGGGGCTGTTTTTGGCTTGGGTTTGTAATTTTTTTGTAACTACGCTGAGACACCCTTATATTGTCCAGTTGGTTTGCTTGCAGTTGTACTTAGATATAACTCAGAAAATCCTATGGAAAGCGTGGTTTGTCTTTATTCTCTTTTTTTAAAAAAAAAAAAATATTCATAGCATCTTTCCAATGTTAAAGCTTGAGCTGTTCTATATATGTGAAAATACAGAAGAGAAAGTCCCTGTCTTCTGCGACACCTCACACAGGGTTAAAGCATTGCAAATCACAAATGAAATTTGCCCCTGCTGCTGGTGTTTATGGAGATTAAAGTGGTGCTTTAGGCTTTGTGCACATTCTTTCCACCCTAGATGCACATTGCTATGGCTGGAGAATAATTACATATGGCCACTGTATTATATCATAATTAAGCAATTAAAATGTGCTCATGGCACTCTGTAGAGATTAATGACTGAACAGAAGTTGCCACAGCTTATTACACAGGCTGGTTATCAATCCTCTAGGTAAAGCTTCTGGCCTGTGTTATTATTTCTGTCATAACATGTTCCAATTTTGAAAAAATGAAGGTAGGAATATTACTCTCTTTCATAAAAGCAATTTTCTTTTTAATCTTAGAGGATTGTATACTTCAAAAATCTGCTACTGTGCTGTACCAGGCTTTGCTGAAGAAGCAATGCCAGCCACAGCTGTGTTGGTATTTGTCAGGGTTATAAAACTGGATATGGGAATTGTTCATTTGAGCCAGTTTTTGCTCCCTTTGTGTTGTAGAAAGCCTATTATTTAATTTCATAGAAAACTTAATATTAACCAATTACCTTTAAAAATACATCCCAGTGTTCCACATATCTTTTGAGATTCATTCTGTACGAACAGAAGCTAGAAAAGGATTCAAAGAGAAAGGACAAATTCACTGTGCTAGCAAGCCAGAGGTAGCCTTTACAACACGCTGCAGTAAGCATGCAGTCAGTTCTTATCAATTCATATTTTTGCACACACACACGGAGGTGTGCACATGCATATGCACCAATCAAGCGTCAAATTCTGGTCCCTATTATTCTCTATTAACATAGCTTTGTAGTTACCAACTTAATATTGATGTGTTGAATAGCAAAACATAGCTCAGCATCAGTAAAAAATATGAATTATAAATCCTCATGTTATTTTTTAAAATTGGCATCCTTTTATTTCAGAAAATTGTATTTTTTCTAACCACTTTTTATAGATTCAGTTAAGAGATATGTCAGCCTTCTGGAATAATACTTAATGTATTAGCCCAGGGGAATCAGTACTAGAGGTTGCCTCTAGTAGGCAATTTCGAGAGTATGTCTGACTATATCTCCAAATGTGCAAAGACTCAGTTGCTCCTCATTTATTAGAAATCTACCTGTGTTAAGCAACTATGCTTGGAAATCCCCAGAAATGTCATTTATTCAACAAGTCTTGAAAGGTGGAAGACAAAAAAAAAGTGAAGACAGATGGAAAGTCAGAAGAAAATCCATGTGTTGATACCCACCAGCATGGTGGTCTGATGAGTAGAGAAAATTGTTATTATCTTCAGGCAGCAGGTTGCCTTATGAAACACTAATTGAATTTTTCTCCCTTGTTTTTTTTTTTTTATTTTCAAACAGTTATAGGCTTACCGGTGGTAATTCGCAATTCACAATCAACCCATCAACAGGACAAATCATCACCAGCGCTCTCCTTGATCGAGAGGCGAGGGAGAATTACACTTTGGTGGTGGTGGCGAGTGATGGGGGCTTCCCCAGGGCTCTCTCCAGTTCCACCAGCGTGCTCGTCACTGTCGCCGATGTGAATGACAACCCGCCCAAATTTCAACACCATCCCTACGTCACCCATGTCCCATCACCTACCACTTCAGGTAACTTGATCAGTGTCAGTGTCTGGGATACTTCAGATTGCATAAGCATCTTAACAAATGCAAAGCTGTGCCACAAAAAATGTCTTTTACTTGTTCCTCTGCAGCTATTTTCCAAGTTTTGTTATCTTCGTGTTGCATGGCAACGAATAATGGCAAGGCTCAATGTATCACCCACAATTTAGCAGTTCTTGTAGCTTGTTCTTTCCATTCAAATTCAATTATTGTCCTGAAGTTATGTAAAGAAGACATAGTGTAAATCAGCACCCACTCGAACAAGTAATGAAATGATTTTGCCAGGTTAGAATGACCTCTTTTTTTCCTCTGAATGTTTTCTGTATGGTTTGGTTTTTTTTTTTTTTTCCCCACCCTGAGCAATTCCTAAATGGGATTTTGTCAACCTCGTCCAAAAAGATCATATCTATATCAGATGTTAATTATGTTGCCTTTCCTCAAGCCAAGTAGTGAAGTAAAATAAAAAGTAAAGCCAAGCAGCAACCTTCCTTTGTGAAACCTATACCCAAATTAAAGTGACTTCACTCAATGCAGGGATTAATTTCTGATTCAGTTTATTTTTAAACAAGCCTGATAAATAACTACATTATAAATTACAGTTCAAAGTTCTTGTAGTTTCTATTTGAAGAATTGGCATTGCAAAGGGTAAGAAAGGAAAATATGTGTATTTGCATGAGGATGGAGAGAATTTACTGAAAGATTCTGCTATTCTGAGATATTTTTTTTCCCCAAGACTTAAAATGGACTAATACCAGGACCTCTACTACCTCAAAACAGTATTTTATATCATGATCACTGCATTGCCATGATTCACCAAGCTGCAGTCAGTGTGCTTGGCTGTGGAAGTCAGCAACATTGTGTGTTTTCACATCCATATGCATAAATGGATATGTGATGCCTACAGAGAGAATTCCAAGACAAATGGTTTACAAAACATATTTTCCTTTAAAAGAACAAAAAAAAGAGGGCTTATTTCCATTTCTTGGGTTTTCTCCCTACATTTTAAACAATTGCAAATACTTCTGCTTTTTATGGAAGAATGAATTTGTTTACATTTCTTCCCTGTTTCCAGAACAACATTATGAAATTATTGTATTCTTGCATTGTTGAATTATTGTATTCTTGCATTGTTGAATTATTGTGTAGTCTGACTAGGCACAGTGCCTTTGTGTGGTTCTTTTTGGGGTGTTTCTTTATATGTGTTTATGAGGAGTACGCATAGGTTTAATTGATGTTTTTTGGCAATACCTTTTTGGATGCTTTTTTTTGTGTAACCCATTATAACTGGAAACATACAGAAAGCATAAGCTATGTTTACTCTGTTTTTAAATTACCAAAAACCTATAGATAAATGCACTTTTTTATCTGCAACTTCCTCAGTTGATAGTTCACTTTCACTTAAAAGGAAATGTTAATATCTTTCCACGTTATTTTGAAAGTCTATTGACAATGATGTTACTAGCAGGCATGGAAACCATTAAAAACCCAACTTTATTGTAGTCCAGTAGAGTCTGAAATCATTTTTCAAAAAAAAAAAAAAAGAAAGAACAAACCCTCAGCACTTGAACATTGCTTTTATTCCAATTACAGAATATCTAGCGTACATTTTGAAAGAAAAAGCTTAATTTCCTTGTTATTATTAAACTCAAGTTTAAAAGGAGGAGGTAGTAATAATAATAACTAATAACATGATTTTCTTAACTGAAGAAAAAATCTTCATTTTTTCCTGTCCCATTTCTCACAAGTGTTTGGATAGTGTTTTTGTCAAATTATTCCTCCCTCCCTCCCTCCTACAAATCATTGCACATGACAAATAGTGACATGAAGTATAGTTTTAAGGGGACACTGTCAAAGTAATTCCTGCCTGTAAATGATTTTGCCTTCGGAGGTTGAAAACAATGTGATTTTTGTACAGGAGTGGGTATTTTCTAGATTTCAGTACCAGTAAAACATCAATAGAGTGTTCTGCAAATTGGTTGGACAGTGTCATATTTGAAAGACGTGCCATGCATTAGATCTGTAAACTCCAGAGGAAAAGAACACCCTGGATTCTGCTTGCAGATAGGCAGTTGTAGAGGTTAATGCACATGGTGCCCATATAGTCAAGCTAATTGTGAAGCATAAATTCAAAAGACCTGAAATATAATAGATTCATGTGATTGCAGTAGTGTGCAATAGTTCTGTATTTCTGTGATTTTACACTTATCTCAGAGGACCAGCATGCTTTTACAAAGGCAATCCCATTAGTACTGTCCTCAGAAACCTCTTCCAAATCAGAAGCAAGAAGCTATTAGGGACAAAGGAAGAGTATCTGGGGTATAGGAAGAAAAGGAGCTGCAAGGAAAGCTGGGTGTGTAGGGCAAAAGTCCATGGCTGCTGCCTGTTCACTTACAGAACCTTAATAGTCATTGAATTCCAGGGTTTTTTTTAACATGGAGAAATAAACTATGAGTAATCAAAAGAAAAAAAATAGCATTCAACCTTATTAGATTTATGGCTTTCATAGTGTGAATGTTCTAGAAATGGGATGCTAGACTTCCAAAATATTTCCAAAAGTTTTCCAGTGCAGATGTATTTGCAGCCACTGACACCCACTTTTTTGACCATGTGCACTTCTTGTAGGCTCACAAACTCACCTACTCCTTGTTGAACTTAGCATCTTGTGAAAAAAGCAGTTCATTTTCAGAGCTGTGTGAGGAAGAGCACATTCCTCCAGGGCAAATACCAGGAGGGGACCCTCTCAAGAGTTTCTGAGTGAAAAGCTGGCATCCTGTTTCCCACAATCGCTGCATCTTAACATGCCCTAACTTTACTCTCCATTTCAGGCTCGTTCGTGTTTGCTGTGACTGTCACCGACGCAGATGCTGGCTCCAACGCTGAGCTCCATTATTCCCTCATGGGGAAAAACTCTGAGAAATTCCACATCGATCCAGAGAGGGGGGCAATCCTGGCTGCGAACCCCCTGGCAGGAGAGTCTGAAGTCACCATTTCTGTTCACGTGAGGGATGGCGGCCGGTACCCTGAGACAGACTCTACAACTGTCACCGTGAGGTTTGTGAACAGAGCAGAATTTCCTCGCGTTCAGGCGGATCAGGAGACCTTCACGTTTCCTGAAAACCAAGCAGTTGGTACTCTTGTCACCACTGTCTCTGGGTCTTCAGCCAGAGGAGGCTCCTTGTCTTACTACATCGCCAGTGGTAACCTGGGCGGCACCTTCCTGGTTGACCAGGTGACAGGACAGCTTTCTGTTGGGCGGGCTTTGGATTTTGAAGCTATACAGAAATACGTGGTTTGGATCGAGGCCAGAGATACGGGCTTTCCTCCCTTTTCCTCATATAAGAAACTGGAAGTAATGGTGATAGACGTCAATGATAATGCGCCGGAGTTTGAGCAAGATCCCTTCATTGCAGAAATAGTGGAGAACCTGTCACCACGGAAGATACTGACGGTGGCTGCTGTCGACAGGGACAGTGGTCTAAATGGACAGCTAAATTATGAAATAATTGAGGGCAATACAGAAAATAGTTTCAGTATCAATCGAGCCACTGGTGAGATCAGAAGTGTTAGGCCCTTGGACAGGGAGAAATTGTCTCGGTACACACTAACCATAAAAGCTTCAGATAAAGGCACCCCACTCCAGAGCACAACTGTCAAAGTCATCATTAATATTTTAGATGAAAATGACAATGCTCCAAGGTTTTCCCAGATATTCAGTGCTTCTGTGCCTGAAAATGCACCTCTGGGTTTTACAGTAACCCGAGTCACAACGTCAGATGAAGACATTGGGGTGAATGCAGTCAGCAGGTACTCCATAAGGGATACAAGTCTCCCATTTACCATAAATCCCAGCACCGGGGACATCACGATCAGCAGACCACTAAACAGGGAGGACACAGACCGCTATAGAATTAGGGTCTCTGCACATGACTCCGGGTGGACGGTGAGCACGGATGTCACCATATTTGTCATGGATGTCAACGACAATGCCCCACGATTTACAAAGCCGTCCTATTACTTGGAGTGTCCTGAGCTTCCTGGGATTGGCTTGAAGGTCACTCAGGTTTCAGCCACAGATCCCGATGATGGGTCAAACGGCCAAGTCTTCTACTTCATAAAATCCCAATCCGAATTCTTCCGAATTAATGCAACCACAGGGGAAATTTTCAATAAGCAATATTTAAGGTACCAAAACTCCAGTGGTTCAAGCAACATCAACATTAACAGGCACAGCTTCATAGTTACTTCTTCAGACCGAGGCAGTCCTCCATTAATGAGTGAGACAACCGTCACCATTAACATAGTAGACAGCAACGACAATGCACCGCTGTTCCTCGCTCGTAAATATTTTACTCCTGTTACTAAGAACGTGAGGGTTGGCACAAATTTAATTAAAGTTACTGCAGTGGATGACAAAGACTTTGGCTTGAATTCTCAAGTGGAGTACTTAATGTCTGATGAAAGCAAAACTAATAAATTCAGACTGGACAGGAGTACAGGCTGGATTTCTGTGTCGTCTTCACTAATGGCTGATTTGAACAAAAACTTTCTGTTTAAAGTGAAAGCAAAGGATAAAGGACATCCTCCACTCTCATCTGAGGTAGCTGTTGAAATAGTCGTGACAGAGGAAAATTACTATACACCTGAGTTTTCTCAAAATCGTATGAGCATTACTGTCCCGGAGAGTCACTCTGTTGGAACGGTGGTCAGGACAGTTTCAGCCCGAGACAGAGATGCCGCTATGAATGGATTAATCAGGTATAATATTTCCTCTGGAAATGAGGCTGGCATCTTTGCTATTAATACAACTACTGGTACGCTGACACTAGCAAAACCACTTGATTTTGAGTTACACCAAAAGCACGAGCTAGTTGTTACTGCCACAGATGGAGGATGGGTGTCCAGAACAGGCTACTGCAGTGTCACTGTTCATGTCATTGATGTGAATGATAATTCTCCAGCTTTCAGCCCTGAGGACTACTTTCCTAATGTGTTAGAAAATGCCCCCAGTGGGACAACTGTCATTCGTTTAAATGCCACTGATGCTGACACTGGACTTAACGCTGTGATTGCATATGCTATTCAGTCCTCAGATAGTGACCTCTTTGTCATTGACCCCAATACAGGAACGATCACCACCCAGGGATTTTTAGATTATGAAACGAAGCAAAGTTACCATTTAACAGTAAAGGCTTTTAATGTTCCAAATGAAGAGAGGTGCAGCTTTGCTAGTGTCAACATCCAGTTAGAAGGGACAAATGAGTATGTGCCCCGTTTTGTGTCCAAGCTTTATTATTTTGAGGTTTCTGAGGCAGCCTCCAAGGGTACCATCATAGGTGAAGTTTTTGCAAGTGATCGTGATATGGGAACTGATGGAGAGGTCCACTACCTTATCTTTGGCAACAGCAGAAAGAAAGGCTTCCAGATAGATGAGAAAAGTGGCCAGATCTATGTTTCAGGACCTCTTGACAGAGAAAAAGAAGAACGAATCTCTTTGAAAGTCCTTGCAAAAAATTTTGGGAGCATTCGTGGTGCAGATATAGATGAAGTAACTGTTAATATCACTATACTGGATGCCAACGATCCTCCTGTTTTTACCTTGGGAACCTACAATATACGAATCAGCGAGGGTGTTCCTCCAGGCACCCATGTCACGTTTGTGAGTGCCTTTGATTCAGATTCTGTCCCTAGCTGGAGCAGGTTTTCCTATTTCATTGGGTCTGGCAATGACAACAGCGCCTTTTCCATCAACCCACAGACAGGACAGGTGACAGTCACTGCAGAGCTGGATAGAGAAATGTTGCCTGTGTACAACCTGTCTGTGCTGGCCATTGATTCAGGAACACCATCTGCTACGGGAAGTGCATCTTTATTGGTAACTTTGGAAGATATCAATGACAATGGCCCTACTTTGTCCACCAGCCAAGGAGAAGTCATGGAGAATAACCGTGCGGGAACTCTTGTGATGACACTTCAATCATCAGACCCCGATTTTCCTCCAAACCAAGGTCCCTTTACGTATTACTTGCTCAGCACTGGTCCTGCAACCAGCTACTTCAGCCTTAGCACCACTGGTGTGCTGACAACGACAAGAGAGATCGACAGGGAGCAAATCAGTGATTTCTACCTGTCGGTGGTTACAAGAGACTCTGGCATTCCTCAGATGTCTTCCACAGGAACCGTGCAGATCAGGGTAATAGACCAAAACGACAACCCATCTCAGCCCAGAACAGTAGAAATCTTTGTTCACTATTATGGCAACCTCTTCCCAGGTGGAATTTTGGGCAGTGTAAAGCCACAGGATCCAGATGTGCTAGACAGCTTCCAGTGCTCCCTCACCTCAGGAGTCACCAGCCTCTTCAGCATTCCCGGAGGCACCTGTGAGCTGTACTCACAGGCAAGGTCCACGGACGGCACATTTGACCTGGCTGTCCTCAGCAGTGATGGGTTGCACGGTGCCGTCACCAGCAGTGTCCGGATTTTTTTCACGGGCTTCAGCAACACCACCATTGACAACAGCGTCCTCCTCTGCCTGAGCGTCCACAGCGTGCGGGATTTCCTGACCAACCACTATCTCCACTTCTTGCGCATTGCCAGCTCCCAGCTGACAGGGCTGGGCACCGCCATCCAACTCTATGGGCTGTACAAGGAGAGCAACCACACCTTCCTGATGGCGGCCATCAAACGGGGCAGCAACCAGTACGTGAATCCCAGCGGTGTGGCCACCTTCTTTGAGAGCATCAAAGATGTCCTCTTCCGCCAGAGCGGGGTGCGGATCGAGGCTGTGGACCACGACTGGTGCCTGCAGAACCCCTGCCAGAATGGAGGGAGCTGCTTGAGGAGGCTGGCAGTGAGCCCCACTCTGAAGAGCCATGAGAGCATCCCCGTTATCGTCATGGCCAATGAGCCCCTCCGGCCCTTCGTGTGCAGGTGCATGCCGGGGTACGATGGGAGTCTCTGCGAGACCGACATTGACGAATGCCTCCCTTCCCCCTGCCACAACGATGGGACTTGCCACAACTTGGTGGGGGGCTTCTCATGCAGTTGCCCAGAGGGCTTCACCGGCATGGCCTGCGAGAGGGACGTCAATGAGTGCCTTTCCAACCCCTGCAAAAACGGTGCTGCCTGCCAGAACTTCCCAGGAAGCTTCAACTGCGTTTGTAAAACCGGGTACACAGGTATGCTTTTACTT